GCCGTGATACTGAAAAGGATGTAGTGGTCCTGGGGAATAACCAGCTGATCGTGAGTTTCCAGTGCAATACCATAGCTAAGAGGAATAAAGTAATTCTTGGATGTATAAACAAGGGAATATCAAGAAGGAGTGGGATTGCCTCAGTCTATGGCATTAGTGAGAGCATTTCTGGAATAGTGTGTCCATTTCTAGTGCCCACACTTTAAAAAGGATATTGAAAACTGGAAAGGGTTCAGAAAAGAGCTACAAGTGATTTGACGCCTGGAAAACCTGCCTTCCAGTGACAGACCCAAGATGCTCCATTTATTTCGCTTATCAAAGAGAAAGGAAAGAGGTGACTTGATGACAGGCTGTGAGTACCTACAGGGAGAGACAAAATCCGATAGTATAGGGTTCTAATCTAGCCAAAAAGGCATAACATGATCCATCACTGGAAGCGGAGGCTAGATAAATTCAAACTGGAAATAAGGTGCATATTTTTAAAAGTGAAGGCAATTAACCATTAGAGCAACTTACCTTGGAATGTGGTGCATTCTCCATCACTTTAAGGCCTTAAATCAAGACTGGATGTCTTTCTAAAAGACATGCTCTATTTCAACCAGAAGTTATGGGCTCTATGCAGAAATCACAGGGTGGAAGTCTCTGTCCTGTGTTATGCAGGAGGTCAGACTAGATGATCATAGTGGTCTTCTTTAGCTTTAGAATCTATGATCTACATTTCAGACCCTTAATTTTGTTGGCATCCACCATGGGTATCTACCTAGATGACTCTGCTAATGCATATTTCAGAGGTTAGCTCTTTTATTTCTGGGTGAATTTTTAGCCCCAATGTTCATAAGGACTAGCAGGAGGCAAATCCAGGGCAAATTTCACCTTAGATCTGCCAACAGTCCTGTCCTCACACACACGGCCCTTTCTCTCCTCTCTCCCCTAAGCAGAAGCACTAATTGTGTTGTGATTATGAAGATGTGGACACCATTAGGGGTAGTCTAGTGGCCAAGATGAACCTCAAAAGGTTTGAATGATTAAATCAACTTCCAACCACTACCAAAGTGTTATCTCTCTAAACCATTCAGCTGTCCCTCATACAAAATGTTTTATTCCTGAGTGAAAGGTAAGGTTTGTGCTGGATGTTCTGTTATGAGAGGAAAGGGTTTTTTTCCCCTTAAAGGCACTGGGATGGGACGCAGGAGATGCGGATTCTGTTTCTGCCACAGAAAGCATGTGTGACGCTCTATGCCACAATTCAATAGCTGTAAAATAGAAATACTATTCCCCTACCTTTTTGAAATGTTGTGAGGATAAATCCATTACTGCATATGATGTGCTCAGACACTAGAGTAATGAGTACCGTACAAAACCTATAATTAAACCAAAATTAGTTCAGTCCCATCGCTAGTTGAGATTATCAAACTCTTTGCATGTGTGATTGACAACAGAGCTCAACAAAGGGGTCCAAAAATGAAAGACTGGCACATTAACCTAATGCAGCACGTAAGGCTTTTATACAAAAACAGTTAAGGCCAGCCAAGAATCAATTGCAGGTCTGAACTTCTAATAAATGCATCAGATACCTTAATGCACACAAAGGAGGTTAGTACTCAGACTGGGACATCCTTTAAGTCAGCTGTCCTAAAAAGACTCCTTTTATAGTCAGTTCCACATCTCCTGTATTATTATTTATTGAGAGAGAGACATAGCACGCACATGATGTGGAGGGGGAAGCCTACTTCCTTTTGTAGCATTTGTCACTGAGACAAATGCAGCCTGCAGCATGGCACCTTTGATTCTGCTAACTTAGAACACCCAGCTGTGATGCTCTTTTGGGTGAAATAATGGGCTAGTTTCCAGCTTCCTTTGTTTTCAATGTTTGTGTTTAACCTCCTCCATTTGATGGGAAGGGCAGATGAGCCAAAGATGGGACCTCCTTAAATCACACAATCAGGAGGGGAATTGTTACGTGTGGTTAGCTGACATTTTGTCTGTGGGTAGAGAAACTGCAGTGAGTTTACTAGTTTTGGGGCAGTTGCTGGTCTGTCAACATGCAGAGAACTCTGTCCCATCAGAGTTTAACCTTGGCTCACCTTTAGGATATGCCCATTATCTCATTATGCATTTCTCCTGAAAGGTGTATTATTTGGAAAATAAAGGGCTCAATCAGCAGAAGCATAGGAAGAAAATCCTTTCACATTTGAAAAAACCCATCAAGGTACAACAGCTAGGAAACCAGCATGTGGATCATTGGGCACCAAAGAGGGAGAACAGAAATTCAACCTGGATATACTGACAACTTGATAGGTTTCAGAGTAGCAGCTGTGTTAGTCTGTATCCGCAAAAAGAAAAGGAGTACTTGCGGCACCTTAGAGACTAACAAATGTATTTGAGCATAAGCTTTCATGAGCTACAGCTCACTTCATTGGATGCATGCAGTGGAAAATACAGTGGGGAGATTTTATATACACCGAGAAGATGAAACAATGGGTGTTACCATACACACTGTAATTAGAGTGATCAGGTAAGGTGAGCTATTACCAGCAGAAGAGAAAAAAAACTTTTTGTAGTGATAATCAAGGTGGGGCATTTCCAGTAGTTGACAAGAACAGTAGGAGGGGAAGTAAACAAGGGGAAATAGTTTTACTTTGTGTAATGACACATCAACTCCCAGTCTTTATTCAAGCCTAATTTAATGGTGTCCAGTTTGCAAATTAATTCCAATTCAGCAGTCTCTTGTTGGAGTCTGTTTTTGAAGCTTTTTTGTTAAAGAATTGCCACTTTTAGGTCTGTAATCGAGTGACCAGAGAGACTGAAGTGTTCTCCGACTGGTTTTTGCATGTTATAATTCTTGACGTCTGATTTGTGTCCATTTATTCTTTTACATAGAGACTGTCCGGTTTGGCCAATGTACATGGCAGAGGGGCATTGCTGGCACATGATGGCATATATCACATTGGTGGATGTGCAGGTGAACGAGCCTCTGATAGTGTGGCTGATGTGATTAGGCCCTATGATGGTATCCCCTGAATAGATATGTGGACACAGTTGGCAATGGGCTTTGTTGCAAGGATAGGTTCCTGGGTTAGTGGTCTTGTTGTGTGGTGTGTGGTTGCAGGTGAGTATTTGCTTCAGGTTGGCGGGCTGTCTGTAAGCAAGGTCTGGCCTATCTCCCAAGATCTGAGAGAGTCCTGGGTCGTCCTTCAGGACAGGTTGTAGATCCTTGATGATGCGCTGGAGAGGTTTTAGTTGGGGGCTGAAGGTGATGGCTCGTGGCGTTCATATCTATGACAGCAAACTCAGCTGTCATAGTGGACTAAAATGAAACATGGGATCAGCGGTCATGAAGATTACAGCTGCCTTTATTTTCTATTATGCCTTGGGCCAGGTATCATCCAACAGTTGATACAATGTTTTATAAAAGATGCCAGATGTACCCTACTTAGGTAGAGAGAAACTAAGATGCCATGGATAAGGGCACTGTTTCCCAAGCGAATCCCCATTTCATACACTCATTGCACTGGGCCAGCCTATCCTTTACAAATCAGCCACATATGGATGGGCCAATCTTACTCTCTGAGACAGGCTAGCTTTGTCAGAGGTTGCTAATCATGTCTGCATCAGAATTATGGCTGGTTCAGTGATCAATGTTTCACCTCTCATGGCAAAATTAACATAATTTCCGATTACAGCACCAGTAGATAACTCCCTCTTTTGTAGAAGATGCCCAGAAAAGGTTGATTTCAATGGCACTGAAGCGCATTTCTTGAACATGGATCGATGTAAATACATGCTTAAGTGATAAATTAAATCAGAGTCTGTGGGTGAAATCCACCCTTTCCTACACAAAACCAGTGACAGGGCTTCATGTGGGGACCCATGGAGGGTGTGAAAGGGAAAGAATTCTCCTCTGCAATCTGTGGACATGGTACAGTGCAGCCCCTCTATGAATCCTGCATCAGTACATAGACTGGAATAGATTCCTCTGCCCCCTCCATGACCCCTATGTGGGAACTGCAGGCCACAGGATCTGGGTATATGTGGACCCAGACCCTACCCCAGGCTGACCACTGCTCCCCTTGCCTCTTAAGGATAGTTCAGAGCTCCCTCCATGGCACCCAGGGATCACAGAAGCACAGAGAGCCATGAGCAGGCCTCTTTGCATTGGGGTAAATTTTACCCTCAGAGAAGATTAGATCCATGACAACTGTTGAAAACCTTTAAGTGTCCAACCTTTAATGCAATCCACTGTGATGACATGGAACCTGGTGCATCCACTTGGTGCTGCAGTGGAGGCTGGTTGTAAGGGTAGAATGAAGCACTGCCTTGCATTGATTTGTGTATTATAAATAAAGCGTTCCTGATACATCAGTAAGTCAAGCTAGAACAGCACCACACTGACTTTACCTTGCGAGGGAGAGACTGAAAGGTGAGGGGGTTTTTTTAACCACACTGTAACTTGTGCAAGCTGGCGAGACACATTATCAATATTTTTTTTTTATTGTAAAGCATTAGGAACTGGTCCACATGAAATACAATACGTGAGATAAGCAATCCACACAAAGTTCCTGCAACTGTGCCTTAAATTATATACACAATGTGATCTCAGTGTCTCAACTTAAAGGCAATTTACGGCCTGTCTGTACCAAACTTCTGCATTAATGTAGACCATGGGGTTTTTTTGTCCCCCCTCCCCCGTCCACTTCGTAGCTTAAAGGAAGATCTTTCAGCTGAGCTTTTCCAGCAGAAAGAATTTCCATCTCAACTGTTCTTTTTGAAAGGAAGGTTACAGAGCCATCATTCTGATACCAACCTGTGTTGCAGTATCTCCCTTGCATAATACAGGAAGTTGTTTCCATAGAAATATCTTCTTACATCAGTATCTACAAGTCACCTAATTCCTCCTTTCTAGACCTCTTACACGATCCATTAAAATCTTTCCAAAGGAGGGAAATAACTAGGCTCGACTGCTATTTAATTTCTTGGAAGGAAACAAAAGAAAAGAACAATTAAAAGAACAATAGTTTATTTTTATTTTTTTTAAAAGATTCTGAATATTTGCCTTGCAAAACCCTTGTAACTAATCTGGAGAAATCTCAGTGTGGTTAGAGATTATGACTATTTTAGTCTATTATTTTAGCCTTTTATGACTGCACAGTGGATCTTGCTCCTTGAGTGAGGGAATTAAGGCATCATTCGGAGATACTTAGCAGTCTTGTCTTCCAGCAGGCCCATAGTCCTTGCTCTTTTCCTAGATCCCTTACATTGCTGCGTATCAGCTGTACCTTGACTAAAGTCCTCCTCCTTGGGAATTTGCAGGTGTAATGTCCTTGCTTCTCCTGCTGCGTTACCTTTGTCGTCTCTGGCTTCTTGTGCCACTTTCCTAATATCAGGAATACATTCACCTCCCTGAAATTAGAACCAAGACACAAGGATCATCCTGGTATTATGAAAGGTACATATATACCGTGTAAAAACTATGATGTGACCCTAATCCAAGATGCCCTTAGAAACAAAAGGGACCCCAAAACATAGCCATTATATATAATAGATTCCTGATGCTCTACACAAGTACTCAGAACTGTCTGTATTAAGAAAACAACAAACTGATTTAGTTCAAGTAATCGTTGGGCGGCAACCTAAAGGGGAGGAGTAAACACAATAACCATGGTTCTTAATTTTACTCTGTTTGTTTCTGCCCCTCTCATTATTTATTATTTGATGAGCTTCATTATTTTGATTTGTTTCCTTGAGTATATTTTCTTGTGTTTATGGAGAATTGGTCCATTCCAATTGCCAAGATGATTTTAGGCCACGATCCTGCAATGAAGTGTGTGGGGGCAGACACCCAATGTAAGCAATTAAAAAGAGGGCGTTCTAATTGCAAAGTACTATGCAACCACTCTACCTACTATGTATGCAGGTCAGTTGAGAAAGCCAGTACAGACCTGCTGTTGTAGCATTCCAGCTCCGTTATAGTTCCTATACCTCAGTGAGGAACAAAGTAAAAACTTTCACATATGATGGTCATTTCATCACCTAGCCCCCAGAGCAATTACAGATTAGCCATATAAATCAATGGCCCAGTGATAGAAGATCATCCATGTTTATTTGTGTCACTCTCTCCTATTTAGGCTCCCTAACTCACTAAGTAGGGGGAAAATGTTTATGAAAAAGAGGATAATAAAATGATAAACTAATCATGTACCTCATTCATCGGGCCTGCATCTAAGCATATGGGTTCATCATCCTGAGCTCCCTCTATATGACAGCCTCCTTCCTCCTCTGAAGCAGTCTGACTAACTGTGTTTTCTAAGGGCAAGATCATAATGAAAGAATGTTGGCACAACTTCCATAGCAACAGTTTTATCAAAAAAATACCTACAAGATGCTGTCTTCATACAATTTCAGTCCCACTCCTCCAATTCTGACAACTGACCACGCAGCCCAGTAACAACAAAAAAACCCTTGTGCAATAGGTGGCAATGCCACAAAAGACAAATGCATAGGTTTGGTCAGAAGAACCCCATTTTCTGATAGCCACTTGCACCTGAAATATTTGCAGGTCCATCTACCTGAATGTGCAGAAAACCCACACCTGGCATTTTCACACACAAAATTTTCTGCTTGTAAATATCACATCATCTACCTGCAAACAGATGCATCTGTTAGTGCTGTAGATGCAATTTGAACAGTTAGCCCTCAGTTTTCACACCCGCACTTCTTGCCAGGTATAAATTACATCTGAAAAAGTTTTTAATTATATTTGCCATTTCTGAGCCTCCACTATCTTGACATAAAGGGTCCTGATGTGCAACAACAGCATGTCAGGCTAATTTTGGGGTGACTGTAAACTTCCATCCTTTCTGATTATTTCAGAAGAATTGTAATGGTTGAGACTGAAGCACGGCATCTAATATTTCCAGTGCCCAACAAATTAGCTCTGACTGACTCTGATTTTCTGACTATTAATTGGGGTAAAATGAGTGCAGAGAGACCAGAAAAATAAATTATTAACACTGTGCTTATGTCCCTATCCTATTCCCAGATAGCGTTAAAAATCTCAGGATCTTCCTCCATCGGCACATGAATGTCTGCACTAAAATGTCATTGAAAACCTTTCTAGCCTTAGGTTGAAAGTTTGTTCCGCTAAATGGAATCCATTTCTCAGAGAGTTCACTGGTCTGTAAGTTGCCTGTTAGACAATAAAAGGTACTTTTCATGATTCCCAAAAGCCTGGAAAGCAGTTATTTCCCACGGAATCTGCTTTTCTTTTCACTTGCAGTCAGGGCTGGTGCAAGAATGTTTCGCGCCCTAGGCGAAACTTCCACCTTGCGCCCCCCCCCCCAGCCCTGCAGCAGCTCCCCGCCCCCCCTTGCCCTGAGGTGCCCCCCGCGGCAGCTCCCTGCCACCCCCTCTCTCGCTCCCTCCCCTCGGCCCAGGGAGCCGTGCGGCAACTCCCCGCCGCCCCCTCCCTTGGCCTGGGGAGCCGTGCGGCAGCTCCCCACTACCCCCTCCCTCAGCCCGGGGAGCCGCATGCAGCAGCTCCCCGCCCCAGCTCCGCCTAGTTCGCTTAGTGGTTGCACCGGCCCTGCTTGCAGTGCGGCTGTAGCCATATTGGTCCCAGGATATTAGAGAGGCAATATGGGGGAGGTTCTATCTTTTATTGGAATCACTTCTGTTGGTGAGAGAGACAAGCTTTGGAGCTTATCCAGAGCTCCTTTTTAGGACCTGGACCAATAAAAGACAGTACCTCCCCCACCTTATCTTTTCACATTCACTTTATTTTTGTAGACCTTACATACTTTCACTCAATTACTCTAGAACTGCTCATTTCAGTGCCTGATTGGTTCAGCAAGTAGGAGCCTCGCTGCATATTCATCTTAAATTATTTTCACATTTCAGCCAGCCTCTGTAGGCAAACGCTGCTGCTTCTCTGTTACTGGAACTATTTGATATAAATTAACCTTGGCTGATTTTTCAACAACAATTAAGTGAAAATTTCCAGTTCCATGTATGATGCACCAAGGAACTTTCTTTTTATCGCTATACACTGATAAAAATTCAACAAACATGTTGAAAAGAAAATATCCATCTAGGTTTCCCTTCTAACACATATCTACAAATGTGTGCATACCCAAATCTACGAACCATTTCTGGTTCATCCGTGCTGCCACTAGATGCCGCTCTATATCCTTGCAAAATTAAAATTCTGATCTCAGGTTTGTTTGAACCTTTCTGGAACACATCTTTCTGTAAAAGCCCTACAATATTATATGACAAGAATTTATTCCTGACTCTGAAAAACTACATAGTATGCAGCAGAAGAGCTGCACAGTTACAGCTATTAAATAGCTTTCTTCTACAGTGCCTAGTACTGTGGAACGGGGGCAGAAGGGTTGTTCAAGAAGCCCAGAACAGGATGGGGAGCTCACTAATCTTGGTGGCTGTTGTCATATGTACCAACATTATTTGGTGATGCTGAACTACATTGCCTCGTGCTGGCGGGATGCAGCAAAGGGGAAGAGGACACAGAAGAATTAGATCCGAAAGACATTCATGTCCTCAAATAAGCCTATAGAGATCCAAGCAAACATCTGGGTGCAGAGTTGGGTAAAGGCACACCTCAAGAGCTCCATTCTATGACGTATCATTCGCCTCCCTTTTCTCCTGCAAAAGCATGGTGCTAGTAACTTAGACTCCAATTCCAGTCTCCCTTAGCAGGGACGGAGTCTGGGGAACCATGGGGTGGGGGTAGGGGGAGAGATCTTCCTGTAGAGGAGATGGATGAGGTGCACCTGAGCTGGGAGGAGCTGCTGCTTATCCTACTACTAGCAGAAAGTATGATGCCCCATAAAATTCTTTTGCTGCTACCTCACCAGCCAAGAGGGGGAGTGCTGTGGGATCAGCACTTCTTCCAAGCTCAGTGAAAGTTGGGGAAGTTGTCCCTCTCTTTGTAGTAGGTACTATCTGTCCCATGCTCCCCTTTACATTAACTCCTGTACATGTAATCTACCATGCACTGGGAGATACACACACATGCTATACACACACACACTCTCTCTCATAGATTTTATATATAATATAAATATATATGTATATCTAATACATATATTACAAACACCTTGTTGTTTTAAACATTCCATTTCTATGGTAGTTGGAAGTTCCACTGAAGATGGTCAAGTTAAAGCCAACTCAGCACATTCACCCTCTAGCAAAGGGATCACTGACGAGCTATAAGCCATAAGCTGAGAATCTTTTTAAAAAGCATATTTTACTATTTCTTACCAAGCTAACTTATTTCTGTCATTTTCCACTATGGAGATATAGCACATTACAGCTCAGAGGTTATAGAAGAGAGACACATATATGTTTTATACTCTTTCTCTACAGCCTCCACAAATACAAGTATCTCCCCTAAATCCTTTTCTTATTATACAAACAAATAAACCCATCTCTATGGACCATATATGGTGCTAACCTCACTGGGCTAATTGTTGCCCTGGTATAATGCACTGCAATGGGAGTTCCATCCTCTTACACCAGGGCTGCATTTTGTCAGTAGCCCTCGGAGTCTCGGATTCTGTAATTTTATTTCATTACTTCAGAATCTCTAATCCTGGCCCTGTTTACTAGATATTTTGGCCCTCTCTTGAGGATTACCAAGTACTGTGCTGTACAATAAGGAACACAGATTTTTTTCCCTTCAATTGAACACAAAGGAAGGTGGAACCTTCAAGTTTATGTCATAGAATGGCATGAAAATTGCCTCTGAACAGTGAATTCAGTAACTCTCATCCCCATGGCTCTAGAAATTTTTCTAGTTGCCTTTCAATGCACCTGTGCCTTTTTTTTTTTTTTTAACATACTAGAGCTGAGATACCTGCTTTGGGGTCTAACCATAGACTTTTTGCACACATACCACCCACCCTGATAGCTGAGAGGTACCTGTCGCTTCTGAGTCAGATAAAAAGACAACGTGCTGAACCTCATGCTTAGCACTTTCTCCATGTGCTGCCAATGAGAGGAAGCAGCATTTTGTCATCATTAAGGAAGCGTAGCTTTTAACTGTGAAGTTTAAATAACTGAACATGACAAGGAGAAGTCCGTACAGTTTGTAACTCACTTTCTGAAAGGGCAGTTTCCAGCTGAATCTTTAACCAGATACTAACACGCTGGCTCCAGTCCCCTGGTGCTTCCACCTCCCACAGTCGATCCTGCTCCTCTGGATGGGTCTGCAAGAATTTCTGGCAAACTGAACAGGAAAACCAAGTGCGGGGCGTGGAGGGGGGAGAGAGAGACGGGGAAGCATTAGTGAGTTAAGAGTCAGCTGGTGGCACCAAGCGTGAGCTCTCAGGATGTTCTCTCAGAGACCTATTTTTTCTTAGAGGTGTGGTTTTTGGGTGTTTTCTCTCTCTTTCCACCCTTCATTCTCTCTCTCTCTCTGCTAAGCCTCTCGCACAGCCATGGCATGGAGTCTGAGTACTTATACCTGGCTGGAGGAACCCTGTATGTTGAACATCTGTTCAAGGCTACTGAAGTTTCTTAACCAACAACGGGATAATATTCAGAATCTGCCCTGAGCTAACAAAAAAAATAGATGCAGGCTGAATTAAGTCTCCCACTCTGCTCCTTTCTTACCCTATAGTGCATAGATATGGCAGGAGCCTTTTTAAAACATTGGCTAAGTGGTCACTGCCTGGGGTTTATAATGGAAATCCATGTTATCACATTCATAATCTTCTCACTGAGGATAAATAAAGAGTTTTGCTCATTTCTGCCTTACAGAAAGAGAGTACTTTAAGAGGCAGACGACAGGTGTTTATTAACAGGCACGCAATATCTCCCTTTTCTCCTTTAAAGTCCCTTTTTGAAATGCATTGCTTCACAGAGCCTTAATAAATCTTATCCCTCTCTGCAATGAATTGTTATCAAATGAGACCATTGAAAACAATAACTCATGCAACCAAAATTAGTGCTTGAACCTCGCTGGTCATATGTTGCATACTGGGGTCAAGACCACAGGCTCTTTTGAGCAGGGACCATATCGCTAAAGTATTCAGCACAGAACTGGAGGTATACAAACAATAAACAAAGTATGTACACCAAGTGTGGCTTGCAGAATCATAGTGAGCATTAATTAGCAGGACATCTTGGGAAGAAATTAATGATAGCCCTGTCCCTCTCTCTAACGTGAGACTACTTTCTGGTGAGCATTCAGGGGCTTTTACTTATTGGGGTGAATGAGGAAAGCCTGAAACAGGAGGAGCTGACAGAGACAACAGATGTAGCTGAGGTAAAGGTATAACTTTCATGAGAAACCTTGGTCCTATTAGTATTCCAGACGTATTCTGTAGACAAAGAACATTCATATAATTTGGATAAGCATTCAAATTTAGGGCTGTTTATTCATAAAAAACCCAAACCTGTCTCCTTTGCAGGTTTTCCTCATTGCTAGTTGCAGAGCCAAAGTGAGGAAACCGCCAACAGGATTTATGCTATTAGTGTATCCCTTTAGGAGTGATGAAGTGTTGCATTTCTGAACTGTTCTGTAAATTAAACAGGGATTTTTAAACCTCTGTCAACCACCTTTCCATGAGGTCCTGCTCATGTCTCCTGACTCAAGTTTTAAGATGATAATCCCTGATCACTCCATGATACATTCTGTCCCTGCATCCTAAGTAGTTCATCATACCATGGAGAGAGTTTGGAAAGCTCACTTATCTTTAATGTTTAACTGGATTTGGTAGTTTTCATTTTTTTTTTAAATCCCGTCATTCTTGTAAGTAAACATCTGCCTCATAATGAGTAGATCATTGTCATTAATTTTACTTCAGGATAAAAGCTAAATTGATTTCTTCAGCAAGAAACTCTGGGAGAGATAAGTACAGTGACAGCAAAATATTCAGTTCATGGCTTTATTGCTCCTTTTTAGACTTGTACAGCAGAGAGTGGGAATATTATATAAGAAATGCTAGTGAGAACTGCTCACATTTAGTGGAAGGATATTTAGAGGGCACTGGGTTGCAGTCCTCAGTCTAATGCAGAAGAATTTATACCTACTTCAATAAGGCCAGTATTTCACCCTTGGCATTTAATATTTATGTTTACAGTGAGATCCAGAGATCCCAGTCAGGATCAGGGATCGATTGTGCTAGGCACTCTACAAACACAAGCAAAGACAGAGTCCTGGCCCTGAACCTGAGCCCCAAACCTACCAGAGATGAAAAGCTAACTCTTAGGATGTACCACTAGTGTTTATAAACAAATCTCAAAATGCAGCATGTATAAACCATACAATGCATGCCATCAGGGAAACTGTTTTTGTTCGATGGAGAAAAATAATTTCACCTGTATTACTTCTTCCTGTATTAAGAGGACACAGTATCTTCGATAGAGTTGTGGGAAAAGGGAGAGATGTGAATGTATAATATACATGACTATCTATGCATTAGCTGTGCATGGTGTATACATTTCAGATAAACAGAACAGTGTACAGCTATGTGTGTTGAGGGACAGAGAGAGACTAGGGGGAATAAAGGTTTTATTGGTATTAATTAGGGATGACTGTAAAGCCAGGAGTGGCTAACACAGATATCCCAAACAAGTTGCAGTAAGACCCCCATGTCACACCACATCATCAGGTATTTGATTTAAGCCACATATTTAACAAAGAAGTATTTTATACATGTTTTAGAGATTTTAAAAATCATTTTATTCTTAGGACTATTTTATTTAAGCTTCCACCTGAAACTCCAGGCTTGCTTGCGTTACCACGAATCCAACTGTACAGCCACGGAGTGAAAATTATAACTAATTTTAAAAATATATTGTGACTGTTCAAAAGCCGCTCAGAGATTTGGAATGAAAGAAGTACTTCTGACAAGTTGGATTAGGGGGCATGGGTCAGGTGTGGTGCCTGACAAATGCAATTTATCACAAAAGTATAAGGACCACAGATGTGGCATGTGTGTAGTGTGTGCATATGGACATCCACACAATTTCTTCTTTTTCTTTCTTGTCAAACAGCAAGCTGATCATTCATTCTTTGATTCCAAAGCCATTACTCCATTTCTTGGAGATAATTATATAAGAGTGTGAATACCAAACTACCATTCTATCACTCAATATCTTATAAGAACACAGGATTTCCTCCCCACAGGAAGCTACATGTGTCTCTAGAGAGATTGCATGCCAAGGACATTATTTTTGTGTTCACTCCAATGCATTGAACTCTCTGCAGCCAAGAAGCCGCTTCCAATATTTTTATGAAATGCATAAATTATACATGACCTTTTACCTAATGTTTCCACATCAAGTGTTTTACCTTGGTACATGTCAGCAGAAATAGGGAAGCTGATCCCCAAGGCATCTTCGGTCCCAAAAGATTGACAGAAATCATGCAGAATTTTCATCCCTAGGCCGCACCTTCTGTATTTTCTCCGGACAAAAACAGTATCCAGAACTGGGAGCAGGTAGCATTGACAGGAGTTAACATCACACAGGCTTCCTGGGAGTACACAGTAAAATAGCTCACTCTTATAACCAATAAATGAAAAGATAAACCACTCTCCAAGCCAATAAACAGTAATAATTGTGGCAGGAGGGGCGCATTAACTTTATTTTACATAGAAGGGAAGTGGGTGTGGCATTCTACAGAGAAAAAAGTTTGAAGGTGTCGGATAGAACCCGAGGGAATGCCAAGTTCAGGGAGAAATTTTAGACTCAGGTTTATGTTTCCTTGCCAATAAAGCCAAACCCCAGTACAAAGATGGAGACAGATACTAACTAAGGGCCTGTGTGTTGCTGAGGCTAAAACAGTGACTCAAGCCTAGCATCCTGCCTACTGGACCAAACCACTTCTCACTAAAACAGTCAGAAAGTATTAGAGCTTGTTCCAGCACTTCAAACCTTTACTCTGCAGTCATCACCCAGGCTAAACGCCCTCTGCCGTCAAGAGGAGTTATGGTTGAGTACAGACGTGCAGAGTCCAAAATGACAATGTTCATATCAATTAACTAAGGGCCTCACTCTGCAAGAATTACATGAGTAGTTCTTTGTATATTATGCACAGAAGTTCAAAATGCCACAAGAAATAGAACCCAAAAGAATAAGAAAACATAAGCATTCAATCATGAAATAACTTATGTTGAGATCAATCTGTTATCTAGCGACTTTGTAGAATAAAAGCATTACAAATGTTTCCTCTTGATTGATTTGTATTTAATCATTTATGAAATGCCCACTGCCGTAGTGCCTGGACTCATACAGATTAAATACAACTGAAAATCCATAGAATCATACAAATTAGAGGCCTTTTAGTAGGTCTGCTTGACAATTTTCCATCAAACCTTTCTCCTCTGCCCTGCCCCGCCCCCAATATTTTCATGACAGCATCTTCTTTTCTATTCTTTTTCTTTTTTGTCAGAAAACTGAAAAGTTTTTAGTTTTTGATGAAAAGTCAAAATATTTTGTTGAAAATTTTGATGAAAACAAAACATTTTCATTTAAATTTTGCATGAGAGGGGAAAAACATTTTCTCACCAGCTTTCCCGGTTAATCTAGTGCCTCTCATAGTTAGTTTGTTCCCTACTACACATTTACCAGTGTAACATCCAACTTCGTTTTAAACGACTCAAGTCATGAATCTTCTGCCACTTCTCTTGGGAGTCTCTTTCACAGCATAATAGAACTAATTGTCAGGAGGCTTTTCCTGATATTCAAATTAAGCTTCCCTTCTTTCAGTGTGACCATTTTCTTCTAGCCACCTCCTGCTTGTTATCTTAAATAAGGGCCTGCTTCTGCTCCTGTTGATTTCAACTGGAGTTTTGCCACTAACGCCAACAGAAGTCAGGTCTGACTTTAATTCCTCTCCTACCTTGGACTCCAAATTCAGCAAGACACATATGCATTTGCTTAAATCACAATAAAATCAATGAGACTTGAGAAAGTGCTTGACTTCCCAAGTGCTTTATTGAATACAGACAGGTTTCAGAGTAACAGCCGTGTTAGTCTGTATTCGCAAAAAGAAAAGGAGTACTTGTGGCACCTTAGAGACTAACCAGTTTATTTGAGCATAAGCTTTCGTGAGCTACAGCTCACTTCATCGGATGCATACTGTGGAAAGTGTAGAAGATCTTTTTATATACACACAAAGCATGAAAAAATACCTCCTCAAACCCCACTCTCCTGCTGGTAATAGCTTATCTAAAGTAATCACTCTCCTTAGAATGTGTATGATAATCAAGTTGGGCCATTTCCAGCACAAATCCAGGTTTTCTCACCCCCCCTCACACACACACAAACCCACTCTCCTGCACGGGCTGAAATTGTGGAAAAGCAGCATCACTTGCCCCATAACCTCAGCCGTGCGGAACACAATGCCATCCACAGCCTCAGAAACAACTCTGACATCATAATCAAAAAGGCTGACAAAGGAGGTGCTGTTGTCATGATGAATAGGTCGGAATATGAACAAGAGGCTGCTCGGCAGCTCTCCGACACCACTTTCTACAAGCCATTACCCTCTGATCCCACTGAGAGTTACCAAAAGAAACTACAGCATTTGCTCAAGAAACTCCCTGAAAAAGCACAAGATCAAATCTGCACAGACACACCCCTGGAACCCCAACCTGAGATATCCTATCTACTACCCAAGATCCATAAACCTGGAAACCTTGGGCGCCCCATCATCTCAGGCATTGGCACCCTGACAGCAGGATTGTCTGGCTATGTAGACTCCCTCCTCAGGCCCTATGCTACCAGCACTCCCAGCTACCTTTGAGACACCACTGACTTCCTGAGGAAACTACAATCCATCAGTGATCTTCCTGATAACACCATCCCCTGGCCACTATGGATGTAGAAGCCCTCTACACCAACATTCCACACAAAGATGGACTACAAGCCGTCAGGAACAGTATCCCCGATAATGTCACGGATAACCTGGTGGCTGAACTTTGTGACTTTGTCCTTACCCATAACTATTTTACATTTGCGGACAATGTATACCTTCAGATCAGCGGCACTGCTATGGGTACCCGCATGGCCCCATAGTATGCCAACATTTTTATGGCTGACTTAGAACAACGCTTCCTCAGCTCTCCGGCCCTAACGCCCCTACTCTACTTGCGCTATATTGATGACATCTTCATCATCTGGAGCCATGGAAAAGAAGCCCTTGAGGAATTCCACCATGATTTCAACAATTTCCATCCCACCATCAACCTCAGCCTGGTCCAGTCCACACAAGAAATCCACTTCCTGGACACTACAGTGCTAATAAACGATGGTCACATAAACACCACCCTATACAGGAATATAGCGGTCAGTAGGTTTCCGATCTACATGCCTCCAGCTTTCACCCTGACCACACCACACGATCCATCGTCTACAGCCAAGCTCTGCGATACAACCGCATTTGCTCCAACCCCTCAGACAGAGACAAACACCTACAAGAGCTCTATCAAGCATTCTTACAACTACAATACCCACCTGCGGAAGTGAAGAAACAGATTGATAGAGCCAGAAGAGTTCCCAGAAGTCACCTACTACAGGACAGGCCTAATAAAGAAAATAACAGAACGCCACTAGCCGTCACCTTCAGCCCCCAACTAAAACCCCTCCAACGCATTATGAAGGATCTACAACCTATCCTGAAGGATGACCCAACACTCTCACAAATCTTGGGAGACAGGCCAGTCCTTGCCTACAGACAGCCCCCCCAACCTGAAGCAAATACTCACCAGCAACCACATACCACACAACAGAACCACTAACCCAGGAACCTATCCTTGCAACAAAGCCCGTTACCAACTGTGCCCACGTATCTATTCAGGGGACACCATCACAGGGCCTAATAACATCAGCCACACTATCAGAGGCTTGTTCACCTGCACATCCACCAATGTGATATATTCCATCATGTGCCAGCAATGCCCCTCTGCCATGTACATTGGTCAAACTGGACAGTCTCTACGTAAAAGAATAAATGGACACAAATCAGATGTCAAGAATTATAACATTCATAAACCAGTCGGAGAACACTTCAATCTCTCTGGTCACGCGATTACAGACATGAAAGTTGCTATATTACAACAAAAAAACTTCAAATCCAGACTCCAGCGAGAGACTGTTGAATTGGAATTCATTTGCAAATTGGATACAATTAACTTAGGCTTGAATAGAGACTGGGAGTGGCTAAGTCATATGCAAGGTAACCTATTTCCCCTTGTTTTTTCCTCCCCCCCAAGACGTTCTTGTTAAACCCTGGATTTGTGCTGGAAATGGCCCACCTTGATTATCATACACATTGTAAGGAGAGTGATCAGTTTAGATAAGCTATTACCAGCAGGAGAGTGGGGTGGGAGGAGGTACTTTTTCATGCTTTGTATGTATATAAAAAGATCTTCTACACTTTCCAGAGTATGCATCCGATGAAGTGAGCTGTAGCTCACGAAAGCTTATGCTCAAATAAATTGGTTAGTCTCTAAGGTGCCACAAGTCCTCCTTTTCTTTTTGTGAATACAGACAGTTTGTTTTGGTGTTTACAAATATTTGTAACACTTCCATGGTAGTTATCCTTTCTTCCTAGGCCAATCCCTCCATCTCCCTAATCATTTTTGTTGCTGTTCTCTGAAATTCATTCAGTTTGTTCCATTAAGTTAATCAAAATTTTCCTGGGAATAAAGTGCCCAGATATTAATGCAGTTATTCACATGCAGTTGTACATAAAATCAAAATGACCACAATAGGTTGTATAAACAACCCTCCTCCCTGTACCACCACAACCAGCCATAAATAATCCAGCCATGGTCTATAATCAAGTCAAGCCCAAAAATATACATCTCAGATCGCACTCTGAACACTGGGAGTTTCAGCATGACAAAGTGACTTTAATGCTTCCATAGTTGAGACTTTTGTTTTTAATGGTGAGCATACCCAATGTAATGTACATGCATCTATTGGCCAGAATGTCAGACTTACTCAAGTATATGTGATTATGTCAGCTCTGCCCTGCAAAATATATATATATTACTAACTGCCAGTCAGTAGAAGCAGCAGCAGCAGAGAGGGGGTAAAATGGGGTCCCACTGGGGCCACCCCTCTCATCAGCAGCCCCCTGGAGCCAGAACTTGCAGGGGAGACACACAAACACACCGGGAAATGAGGACTCGGATGGTGACTATCCCCAACGTGGTGTAGGGAGAAGCTGCAGAGGAGCTACCCAGACACTCCAGCCAGCAGGTGCTGCTGCAGAAGCAGCCAAAGCAGGGGCCTTCCAACGTTCAGAGAACTTTCTATAGTTTTGACTTGACTTTCTCTGTCCTGTGATGATCACCTGTTTGGTCCAACCTTTCCCCTCCCTCCCAGTCTCTTCTTCTCCACTTCACTCCAAATCTGCCCCTCAATAAGCTCTTCTCCTCTGCCCAGACCCCCTCACCCCTCTTCCTCTTCCCTTCACCCTCTCCTTTCACTTTTCTTTTAAGAGCTCATCCCCTCTTAAATCCA